ATGACAGATGTCAGATAACTTGAGATGTAATGTGGTCCTTGTCCTCGAGCCGCGGTAATGACGTGAAAGTGGTACTGAGGGTTACATTACTAAGTAGAGGTTAGTTAGCGTGTGACATGAGTGACTGACAGAAGCCGAGCACTGGTGGAGTTCAAAGGCCAGACGGCCTGAGCCGGGCCAGGGTAGACCATGGAGTTCGTAGAAAGCAATAGGGTCAGGGAGGAAATATTGGCAAAGGGTGAGGGAACATTGGGCTGCATGGTTGGCAAGCCAGAGGTTGCTCCTCCTCCTGGACCACCTAACCAGAAGGCATCGTGAGACAGTGGGTGTGTTATGGTGAATGTCAAAGTGGCGCCATGTGTTAGGAATGAACAACCTTTTGGCAGGGGAGATTGAAAGTTACAGAAAGGTTGATGAGAAGTAGAGAGTTGAGAAAGAAACTTGTGAAGGGAATGAGTCAGTGACAAAGGAGATTAATGCAAAAGTCAGAGGAGGCCGGGGACAAGAAAAACCCCGGGGCAGGCAAACTCTCGAAAATTCTAACATGTTAAGTATTAACATTTGGTAATCATTCCTTCCTTTGAAATTCACTCTATCCCCACAGGCTTTGCCTGGGAGTCTTCCTCAGCCTAGCTAACTTTGCTTGGAAGGTGGCTCCTGGCCAGACGCTACCACAAGAGCCCTGCTTCTCTCTCATCCTCTTAGCTCCTGTAGGGTCTCAGAGCCCCATATGTTGATCCCATCACTTGGGGCCCATGTCTGTTTTGTTTGATCTCCAGTAAAGTTACTGCTGAACTCCCCACACTCAGCTCAAATCTAGGCTTCGGTGTACAGATATTGATCAAAGGGGACTAGAAGAGAGAAGCAGATGTTGGGTAGTTATAGCTACTTGGGGACAGAGGGGAAGATGCTGGAGGAGCTTGCAAGTGTCCCAGTGAAAGTCAATCACATCCCCACTGATGGGTGGCATGGGTAACTCAGGGGATAGCAATGGCTTTGATGGAATGGGGCTGGTTGGTTGAGTGGGTGGCAGGGTGCCAGTCTCTGCTGGCTCAGACACCACCCCCACTATAACTGTAATGGAACCAAACAGCCCAGGAGCTGTACCCAATCAGACCTGATAGAGAGATTAGGCAGCCTGCTGTACCATACTCATTCAGGCAGGAAAGTGAACTCTTATCTTAGAAAGCTCTTCCCTTTTCTAAATAAGGGTTGTCTAGCTAATGATTCAGTGAAAGAGAAATCTGATTAATTACAAAGCTCCATTCTCCAAGTTTTTTATCTACTGTAACCTGTCAGGAGCTTCTGAATGACTTAACAAGTATTAATGCATTTCTGGAAACGTGGGGGATTTGAGGGAATTTTTGTTAGTTTGCATGTTTAGGACAGGGTCTTACATGTAGCCCTGGCTGGCCTGACACTTGCTGTACAGACCAGGCTGGGCTTGAACTCACAGACCTGCTTGCCTTGGCCTTCCAAGTGCTGAGATTACAAACGTTTGCCACCATGTTCCACTATTTAAAAAATGATATTAACAGTTGAAATCTATATGGTGTCTGGATTTGCTTCAAAATATTGAAAACGAGGGTAAGATAGTTAGAAAGCAAACTGGCCCTGGGCTGACCACTGGAGAAGATGATGGCCATTAGGACATCTAATGACATTAGGTATCCATTATACTATTATCCACTACTGTGTGCATATGGGAAACTTTATCTAAAAAGACTTGTTCATGGGCCGGGCAGTGGTGGTGGTGCACACCTTTAATCCCAGCACTTGGGAGGCAGAGGCAGGTGGATCTCCATGAATTCAAGAACATCCTGGTCTGCATAGTGAATTCCAGGATAGCCAGAACTACATAGTGAGACCCTGTCTTGTGTGGGGGAGGTGGCGGATGGACACATGTTGATTAAATGTTAGGTCCTCCACAAATCTATGTTTTGATCTGATCTACACCCCCCCCCAAGCTACCAAAATCCAAGAAGCTAAACTGCAATCCCTAGAACCAAAAGTCCAAAGCCAAGGGTAGTGCCTCAGGCTTGGCCTCAGCCCTCAATAGGCCAGGGCATGAGGATGTGTGCTGGAGTCCAGTCTGAGCTCTATAGTGAAACCCTATCTACAAGTATCAAGGGCTGAGAATGTAGCTTCAGTGGTAGAGCATCTGTCTACCATGCTCAATGCTGAGTTTGATCACTAGTACTGTGAGGGAAGAGTTTGTATCAAAGTGATGCTTGTAATGCCACTTAGAGTTTATTTTACATCTATAACCTAAATCATTCAAGTTAATCCTGGGGCTAAAGAGATGGCTCCAAGACTAAGAACATTGGCTGTTCTGCAAGAACTGGGTTTGATTCCCAGGACCCACATGGTAACTCACAGTCATCTGTGCCTCCAGATCCAGGGGATCCAATTCAATGCCCTCTTCTTGCTTCCTTAGGTACCAGGCATGCAGGTAGTACATATAGATACGCCTACACACATAAAATAGAAATAACCTTGTAAATGTTTACCCATTATTGTATGTATGGGGTCTTCCTATGTCTGTGCACCACGTGCATGCTTGGTGCCCCCAGAGGTTGTGAGATGCCATGTGGGTGCTGAATATCAAACCCAGGTCCTCTGCAAGAGCAGAGTTCTTAACCACTAAGCCAACTCTCCAGCCCACATAACTGACTTCTATAAAATGTTTTATAATTTCCTATGTAATCCTAGTTGATATCCTCTTTGGCCTGACACTTATACTTCTGATTGCAGCCCTCCCTTCGGGAATTGTTACACAGAAATCTTCTTTCACCATTTCTGGGAATGGCAGCTGAGGTGGCCAGTGAGTAAGCCTGGGGCTAGAGTCCATCCACAGGTTACCTAGGTCCTCATATATTAGTTGTGTGCTGGATGCCACAGTGAACAAGAGGCAATGAATGAGTCTTGGTCCTAATGGGCTGTGAAGAAAAACGATCTTGAACACACCAGTGCTCTGAGGAACCCAGGGCACTTTGAGGCCAGCTGAATTGGAGGGAGGACTGGGGCTGGTTCACTGATTAAACTACTTTCAAGGAAAGACCTGGAGAAGAAATACAAGTAAATATCAGTGTGTATGTGTGTGATTAAACAGGGAAGGGTTTGGATGCAGGGAACGTGCCTTGGGGGAAACCTTGGAGAATATAACATTACTAACCTAAGCACTATATGTGCACACAAACCACAAAGAACAGAGATGGGATTGCAAAGGCAAACAGGCGCCAGACGGGTGAGATAGGGAGAGGGCTTGCATTAGGGTGTGCGGCTTTACCCAGGAAGCTGGACAGAATGACATGACTAGACTTGGGTTCCTGAAAGTCCCATTCTGAGGCAGAGACAGACAGACTGGGATAGAGTATATATTGTGTGTGTCAGCTAGGAAATGACATAACCAGGCATGGAGTGATGACAGGAGGTTGGAAAAAAGCAGGTGGGCTTGGAATTAAGAAGGTAACCTGATGAGTCTGGTGTTAGAAGACAAAGGGGAAGAGAGGACAAGGATAGCAAGGGCGATGTTCTAGATTTGGGCTTGGCTCCTGGTGGATAAGGAGGCCATTTATAGGATGATGACGACCTTTTAGCCTTCTCAGAACCATGGAGCCTTGGCCTCCCTGTGTTGACAGGAATAAGCATCCCATGAACTGTGTAGAGATATATACATTGTAAAGTCTGACCACAGCAGGGGCTCAATACATCTAGCCTGGGCTCTCTGGGACATTGACCACATTCCTCTGCTCCAATCTTGAGTACTTAAACTGCTGTTATTGGCTCTCCAGACTCCAAACTCTGCCTTCTCCAAATTCTGCCTCTTGTAGAATTTTTAAAAACCCCATAGGCAAATAGAGATGGATTTGGAACTTTGGAAAAAAGAGAGCAGATACTTCTCATTTAGCCCAGCGGAAACTAAAGTCCTTCCAGCTAACAGGCCTGCAAACCATTCACCTTTCTCTGGAGGGACTCCAGTTCTCAGGGCCCAGCGTCTTACTTCATGTCATGAATTTTTTTCTTGGAGGTGTGGTGTTTTGACAAGAAAAGTGTGCTTATTAGCTCACAGAGTTTCAGGTAAAGAGATTTAGATCTAGGCCATTACCTCATGAAAAAAGCCAGTAGTTCCCATAGAGGCTGGCTCTTGTTGGCTACTCCATCCAGGTATAAGGAGTCAGGGTGAGGTGAGCAACTTGGGAAGCTGATGTGGAGAAAGGAAAGCTCCCAATTTAAACAGGGATGAGCAGAACCTTCTCAGCACTGAACGAAGGGTGCTGGGTAAACAGTTAGCAAGGGAACTCACTGTATCCTTGGTTGTTACAATGGCTTGGGACTCTTTTAAAGGTATTGGGCCCGTGTAGGCCATGCTAATAGTAATGTACATTATGGGCACAGAGCTCCATGAGTTACCAGACATTGGGTATAAGAGCTCATAGGTAGCCAGGTGGTGGTAGCTGTGAGTTCCAGACCAGCCTGGTCTACAGAGCGAGTTCCAGGACAGACTCCAAAGCTACAGAGAAACCCTGTCTAGAAACAAACAAACAAACAAACAAACAAACAAAAAAAGGACTTAGCGGGGCTGGAGAGATGGCTTAGAGGTTAAGATCACCGACTGCTCTTCCAGAGGCCCCGAGTTCAATTCCCAGCAACCACATGGTGGCTCACAACCATCCCTTATAAGATCTGGTGTGGAGATATACATGGAAGCAGAATGTTGTATACATAATAAATAAATAAATCTTAAAAAAAAAAAAGGACTTAGCACTCACTATGTCAAGTGTTTGTCATCAGTTCTCTGCATGCAGGCTTCTAGGACCGTCATCATCTTGGACACATCTCCAGAATCCTCCTGCCCACCCACTCCATATATCTACTACATTCCTGGCTGAACTTTCAACTCCTCAGGTTGCATAGAGCCAGCCAGCCAGCCAGGTTCTGACCACCTTATTTCACCCCTCCCACTGCTCAATGGGCAGCATTGATGGTCACACAGAACAAGCTTTCCAAAAAAATAAGTTTTTTTATTGTCTTAGATGCAAATATAGTTTCAAAAATGCATTGTAGTGTTGGGTACAGCTGGTGGGAACATGCCTGTCAACAGCAGGGCACCAAGAGGACCGGGCTCAGGTGGGCAGTCCCAGGGATCTCTGGTTTATGTGACAGCCACCCTAACTCAGGTGTAGCTGCCCTCAAAGGAGCCCTAGACCAAGGCACACAACAGACAGCCTGTGCACAGATGCTGAAACTTGGAGAGCTTGAAGAAGGAGAACATGTTGTTTCAGCTGGGACACTACAGAGCAGGCAGAGAAAGCCTGCTTCCCTTTATAGGGTGAAGAGTCAGGTGACAAAGGGCCTGGGGGTAGGATACTGAACTCCCCGAAGAGAGACACAGCCTAGTTGAGGCCATGAGACCTTTTAACCTGCAGAATGTATACTAGGAAATGTATAAAATGTCAGTGTCTCTCTCCCTTGCACAATCTTAGCTCTTGAGAATGCCAGATCAGAAATCCCAAAGGAATTCCAAATTCACTATGTCCAGGGTTACAAGTGTGGAACCAAAGTTTGGCAGGGAGATATAGGTGAATTCTGCTAAATAACCGGAAAGGAATCCATGAAGTAAACATGCGAGCTCACGAGAGCGCGCGCGCACACACACACACACACACACACACAGGCTCGAGCAAGTGCGCGTGCACACACACGTTAACATTCACTGTGGAAAGTTCCCTTTTCTTTCCAGAAGGCTGAGTCTCACAAGCTCTGACAAGCAGACAGTCTGATCTAGTGAGCAGGGAGGCCCATTCCTCAGAAAGCTGGTAGCTGACCTGTTCTTGCCCACATTTGAAGAGACACAGGGTGGGGGTTGTTTTCTAAGGATTCTCTCACATTCCTGGTGTCTCCCACTAGCTGTCCATGGGCCTTAAGATCACAAAATCTGGCCAGGCAGTAGTGGCGGCACATGCCTTTAATCCCAGCACTCAGGAGGCAGAGGCAGGAGGATCTCTGTGAGTTCAAGGCCAGCCTGGTCTATAGAGCAAGTTTCAGCACAGGCTATAAACTACACAGAGAAACTGTCTTGAAAAACCAAACCAAAACCAAAACCAAAACAAATGAACAAACACAAATCTCAAAACCTGCAAAGCAGTTCCTGGCCAAGGTCTGTACTTGAGGAACATGGTTCACACATGCTCTGAGCTTCATGCTCTTCCACTGGAATCTAACTGCCCCTTTGCTGTTAGACATACAGACCCAGAACAGGTCCTCTAAAACACTACAAGGCACCAAGGGACTGAGTTTCAAGTTGCACTTCTTGACAACACTGGCATTCTAGATAACTGTTCTTGTATCACTGTCCACACATCTTGCCAAGAAGACCACAAGATAACCCTGAAAAACTAAGTTCCACACACACTGGTGGGCTTCAACTGTGCTCTGGTATCTAGTTGTCTAGGAAGAGGTCATTTCTACCCTCAGGAGAGAAGAGAGGCTCCCCCCACCCAGGCTCTCTTTGGAGGCCTCAGGTAGTGGGACTGAGAGCCCTTGAGGAGTAAGGTTATGATGAACCTGACAGTGGCAGGTTTTCTGACAGTGTGGAAGGAAGACAAGAGCCAGCAAATGAATGGAGCTGAGGCCAGGTGATCCAGTAGGCAGCTATAGTGCCACGGGCCACTGGTCTATAGCAGGAATGGGTGCCATGTCCTCTAAGAATCTATAGGGATGTCACTCTTTGTCAGAGCATAGATCTGAGGTCAGGTAACAGGTCCTAAGCACACAGACAAGATCCAGGGTTCATGGTTGGGTCACATGAGAATTCATGCTGGATGACCACTTTCAGCTTCTCTTATAAGACACAGATGTCAACACCAGGTCCCGATGCTGCAGTGTTTCCTCTGTGCTGTGTAAAACCACAGGAGCATGGCCAGCCTCTCCTGAGGGTGACGGCTGGTACGTAACCTGTTACCTTTGAGGAAGCCCTTATCCAGAGCTACCCTGCCTCTGCAGGACTCATAGTCAAAGAACAGACAGAGCATGTGCAGGTGGCTTGTGAAGATTTCACAGAAACACTTGCAGAGATTTTCCAGGTGGCTTTGTAGTTTATCCTTTTAGGTCAATATTCTTATTCTCCAACATGCCCACATTTGAAGGTTCTTCTATGTGAGTGGGGACAGGAATGGGAGTGAAAGTAACTGTAAACAAACCCTGGTCAAACAGTGTGGTCAGCGCCCAGTGGAGATCCCCTTGGCTATTCCCAAATGTTGATCTTGGTGTCCAGGACAGAAGTCAAGGCCAGGACCCTCTGATTGGCCAGGTTCATCAGGCAAGATTTCAAAACAAGAAAATCTCCAAGGTAGAATCATTCCTGGAGATTTTAAAGCATTGTGACCTCACAGCCACGGCAAAAGTGAGCACCAAGAAAAGGGAAATGGAGTCACTCAAAACAAAAACATGCACCTAATAAAGTCTGCCAGGACACACGGACACACAGACACACATGCACACACACATTCTCTCTCTCTCTCTCTCTCTCTCTCTCTCCTCTCCTCTCTCTCCTCTCCCTCCTCTCCCCTCCCACCCCCCAGTTTTACACAATCTAACAGCCTTAAACATCTAATGAAACAGGATGAGATTAACTCAGCAAAATGGAGAGGTAGGCAAGAGAAGCAAAGGACCAATCTTATACCCACAGAGTTTTAAAAACACGATTACTCCCCAGCAAGGGTGGAGAGAACCAGGAGTCTTCATGGCCATTGTGTGGCCTGTGTCACCTGGCTGGGAGGAGGAAGGGCTGGGCTTTTAGAGGCCCTCACAGAAGCAGTTTAGTTCTTCCTTCTGCCACAGTGGCCTTTACCCTCTGAAGAACAATTTCACCTTGTTTTGGGGAAAGGAAGGGGTGCCCAGCAGAAATTCCAAGGTCCAGCCCTATGTGCCTTGTGTTCATCCCTCAACCTGTAAACATGCTTTGGGGGCGGCTGAGGAGGACCACCATACTATTCCCAAACAGGATAGAAATTAGACCCGGAGCAAGCATGTGGTCAGGGGCTCACAGCATCAAAGGTGTAGGTAGCAGCCAGCAGCCCTTACCCTTTCTTTGTTCTTCACCTACTTAGTCCAGGGCAGGCCTCAGGCATCAGCAGGAGCTTCTGATAGATCACAATTTCAGAGGACATCCTGGGTCCTCTTCCCCTCTTCATGTGGTCCCCCCAGGACAGGCAGCATGGTGAGGAGGGACCAGGACAGAGTCCAAAAAAAAGCCTGCTGCCTGCTCTAGGTTTCACAGCAGGACAAAAAAGGACATTCTTCCTGGGAGGTGCCCTTGACTGGGCTCCCTGAGTGCCGGAGAGAGTATCTCACTGCCTGTAGCATCTCAGAGGCAGCAAAGGATGAGGCTCAAGTGCCACCTTCCCCCAACCTTCCCCTGTCTCTACCAACTGTAACATACATACGGGGGCAATTCAACCTTCAGACACATGTCACCCTCCAAACTTTACTGGTCCAAATCTGAACACAATTCTTTACCATCTAGCTTGCAGACAGCTTCAAGGGCTGACTCCTTGGCATCCTGCCTGTGAGCTTTCTGTTTCTTCCTCCTAATACAAGATGGGTCAGACTTCTTCAGTAGGATGACATCTTTGGTCTGAGAAGTGTCCTGATGTGGAGCTCCCAGCTAAACTTCAGATAAAATGACCAGGATGACAGCAGCATTATGGAGTGTGACCTTCTGAATGCTAGAACCAAGGATGAAACTGTCCCTGGAGTGTACCTGCCTTTTCCGAGACTGCAGAGTACAAGTGGGTGGAGAACAGGCATGGAAGGGCCTCAGCTGGGAAGAAAGGCCTTAGAGGCTCTAGGCCAAGTCCCTGGCAATGTTGACAATGTCATGGTGACTGCAATGCAAGGCAGAACTGAGACATAATAGATGGGACCCTGCTTGGAGGGTTTGCGAGCCACAACAGCAGCGTTGCGGTGCCTGTGATGTCGTCCTGTCCAGCTGGCCTCCACACCCATTGTTTCCCATTTGTGCTAAGGGGTTTGTGGAGAAGATTTCCCCCTTCAATAGAATACACCAGGGAGGAGGCACATTCCTTTCTGCAGAGGTCAGAACGGTAGCCCAGAGGGCCAGGTGCTGCCAGGGTTGCAGGAGATAGAGAGACTTCACTGCTGCTATAGTGGCCAGAGGCGTGCAGGGGTTGCCAGAGGAGCACAAGTAGAAAACAATGTGACCGGGGCCAAGTCTCTAAGACTCAAGAAAGGAATTCTGAGAACCCTGGATGATTCCACCTGCAGGAACAGGCTTTGTCTCCTTGTCTTGCACTTGCTGACACTGTACTCCAATAGGCCACAGGAGGGCAAGAATAGAACAGCTGATGTTTCCCTTTGTCTGGGCCACCCCAAATGCAGGGGAGACTGGTGACTGAGGTCACTGAGTGAGAAGTCACAGCAAGAATTCCCAAGATGGGACACAGCTGTGGCAGGACCCAAACCTGCTTCAGACCTGAGCACAGCATCACCCTGACCGGTGCAGTGGGCCACTGGAGTCAAGGGCAGCCTTGAGGCAGTGCGTCAGGAAGGGTACAGAGGGATCTTCAGGCATCTCATGCAGCCACATGCCAACTAAGCTTAGGACTCCCCCAGTCTCTTGCCAATCCTGGAAACAGCCTCTGATGCCTGCTCTGGCAGCTGGGATGGGTCTGTGAGGATGGAGGTGGTGGTGCTCAGCTGCCGGAGGGTGCTCAGTACCACTGAGAGAGAGGGGGGGCAGTCATTAGCCTGGGACACAACAGGATGCAAACTTCACGCATGTAACCCCATACAGTGATTCCCTAGCATCAAGGATAATGGCCAGAGCTCAACTGCAGGGAAAAGTGATGCGGGAACCATTCTGGAACCCAGTCTCACATCTGCCTATGCAGATCCCAGCAGGGGCTTTAAATAGCCCAAGGAATTCTAAGCTATTCCTGCTGCCAGTGTTGCTCTTGCTTTAATACTGAACATCTATAACTTTACCATATGGTTGTAGCTTTAGAACTAAATAAGAAAACACCAAATTCACCTAAAACAGAGTCTGACAAATAGCAAATAATAAATGTAAGTTGGAATTGATTAGACTGCAGGTCTGCTGATAGGAGCTCAGGGGCCCACATTGGCTCCTACAGCTCTCTGGTCCTCCTGCCTCTGGCCTGGCTGGCCTGGCTTTGTGCAGTAGAGTGTAAACTTTTCTAAGCACTACCCAGGTGAGGGTTTGTCTCCCTTCAGGACCAGTATGAAGTCCCAAACTCTGGTATTCCACACTCACTTGGCCTGAGGACAGGCAAAGAGCAGTGCTGGTCCAGCCAGGAAAGCGCCGTCCGGTGAAACTCCTCCAAGCTGCTGGTGGACACCATCCCCTTGAAAGACTCAAATAGCGGCTTGATGATCATGCTAAACTACAGAACTTGTGTTAAGGAAACGGTGAGCACTGGGGAGGGCTAAGGAGCACACAGATAAGGGAAGAAGGCTCAAGCAAGCCAGGCTTGCCTGCTGACTTCCCTCAGAAATGGCAAAGAACTGCCTACAGAAAACTGATCAGGGAAAGGAAGGGACAGGTCAGGTACTGCTAAGCAAGGTGTGCCCACCATGAGAGTCACAGGTTTGCTCTTACTATGAGTGACCTTTGAGTAGACAGAAGACAGAAAAAAAAGTTTCTTCAGGGGTACAGGGGTAAACACAATGAAGTGAACATGACACCATAGGTCAGTTAATTACAGAAGACAGCTGTGTAGAAAGAGAGGAGCCATGTAGGCTGCCAGGAACATGAGAGGCACAGCACTCAAAAGCAAAGTGTCCGTATTCATGTTATACACAGCCTGCAAGCTCACCACTTCTTGCAGAGCTCCCAAAGGGTCACAGGATGGGCCCAGTGGAGACAGAAATGTTTCTGATGCCTTCAGTTCCCACCTTGGCCTGAAAATGAGGAATGTGTCATTTTATTGAAGCAGTTCTGACACACTCCATGTGTCATCAGGCTCCACTAATGTAAAAAAGTAGGACAGAAAAGCAAGTCAGGGAATGAGGCATACTGCCAGCCATTTCGAGTCAGGGTGTAGGTCACTGATAGCTCTTACCTAGATCGTGTATGTGAGGCCCTGAGTCTCATCCTCAATACGAATAAAAGCAGAAGTACCCAGATAGACTTGGTGGTACACCTAACAGGGAGAGGATATTGTACTACAAAGCAAGTTCCAGACCAGCTAAACAAAATATAAACAAACTTGGCTTCTGAAGTACAGGACTTTCTCTCTCTCTCCTCTCCCTCTCTCTCACACATACACACACCTGCCTTACCATGCTTTCTCTCTGTCCATACAACTGTCTTTTTCCACTGGCTGTCCTATGCCGTAGGTGACCTATCACAAACTGATCATGTTCCTAGCAGGGGTTGTTGTGGAGCAGACAGACAGCAATCTTCCTATAACAGCAATACTGACTGACATCTCAAAGGCTGAGATCAGAGCAGCTTTGACCAAAGACAGGTCCTGGCACATTGGTGGACATGCTTTACCATGACACTCAAGACCAGGGGACATAAAGGCAGAGAAAAATCTGAGGGAACAGGTTTCAAACCCTGCCTATAGCTACTTGGGAGGCTGAGGTAGGAGGATCATTTGGGTTCAAGTGTTCAAGACCACCTTGGGCAACAAACACTCTTCTTGCAAGAAACAAAACAAAGAACTATCTGGCTTGGCAGTTAAGAGTATGTGAACTGCTCTTGCAGAGGACTCACTCAACTCCCAGTTCCCTCCATGTCAAGAGGCTCACAAGAGCCTAGGACTTTAGCTCCAAGGGATCCAACATCCTCTTCAGACTGCACGCAACACACACACACACACGCACACACGCACACACACACACACACACACACACACACACACACACACACACACACATGAAAAATTTAAACACCCCCCCCAAAAAAAAATCTGAAGAAGGAGGAGGAGGAGAAACAAAACAAACCATACCACCACCATCACATGGGGCTTGGCCACTTAGTAATTCATTCAGTAAGCCATGGTTTCCACCTGAGCCTCTCATGTGGGGGCTCACCCTCTGTCACTGAGAGGACTGAGCTGGCTGTCAGGGTCCTCTCTTTCTTACCTTGTTGTCTCTTCAGCAGCAAAAGACTGGAGAGTAAAGCAGACCACCACCCCACCTGCCCTTTCCTGTGAGGCCTCTTGGATGCAGTCTCCCCAGCCCCTAGGGCCAGCCCAGAGCCTTCTCTTTCTGAGACAGAAAATAGCATTGCTAGTCCTGAACTTTGACAACTGTGAGAACCTTTCTTCTTCATGAGGTGCCTGAGAGCACTGGCTACTGTTTCAGTGTGCTGCCTGGGGAAGGGAAGAGCAAGGAAAACCCAAGGATACAATCCAGAATTTCCAATTCTGCAGGACCCTGCTTTTCACATATTCATCAAACATGTCTTTCATGTGGTCAAACTGGCGGCAGTTGACAGGGACTCCTGTGGCAGGTAGCAGCTGTTGGTAGGAGCTGAAACAACCGTAGTTAGAGGGATGCTTTGGGTCAGGTGATGATAGAGAGGACCCTGGGGGACCAGACAGGCCGGACACAGCCAGACCCAGGCAGAGGCCTGTGGGAGGAGGACAGGAAGCTAAACTGCTGCAATACAGGTAGCAAAGGCCACAAAGGGTCCCCTCTGCTTTTGAGACACAGAAATGCATGGGGTGGAGCGCTCAAATGGAACCTCACATGATGGTAGTATTGAGCTCCTCAATTTCGTCCCGGAGCCTCCGGGCCTCCTCTTGCATCTGCATCCGTTCCTGTTGCAGCTTGGTGATATATTCCATGGTCTTCTGCAGTGTGATGGCATGGCTGGTCTGTGGAGGGCAGGTGGCTCAGAGGTGGCAGCACTTAAGTGGCCGGTGGCACACAGGAAAGATGCACTATTGTGCTACCTTGACACTCCCAAGCTACTTACCTGCTTGGAATTATTGGAGATCAAACTGTTGAGGGTGTTAAAGCCCATCCTGATATTGAAACGCCTCTTCTGTTCAGCTGAGATGTGCTTCTGCCGGTTCTATTGAGGAATCAACAGGTCACTGAGACACAGGCAAGGCCTTAGGCAACCAACTTGTTCCTCCTTACTGCCCAACACAATGCTTAGTAGTCAGAGAAAGACTAGTGTCTTAGGGCACATGACAAGCCAGGGCTAGGAAACTATGCAGAGGGAGAGGCTCTAAAAAGCTCTAAGAGTAGTGAGCCAGCAGGAGTGGGCAGGACTCATGGGGTAGGAAGCAGTTGTGCCCTGGGCCCTGGCAGCCAGATTTACTGCTTCTCTACAACCTGTGCTTACAGTCCAGTTTCCTCCCTGCAACTGGTGTGGCCAAGGTTGCATGCACCCCTACCATGTCATGGGGAATGGGAGTCCTCTTATCTTCATGGGCTTGTGGTGGGATGGGAAATGGTTGGGGTCAGTTTAATCTTAGTGTTTCTGGATCTGCTGCTCTCCTTTCCTGATGTTTTCTTTCCTCCGCACCCATCCAAGGGAATCAAGACCCAAGAGACATAAGCCATACCTTTAATGCAGCCACGTTTTTGGGGTCTGTAGATTTCCCTGAGCAGTTGTTCTGGGGAGACTGAGGACTAGGACTTTGTTCTGATGGGCATGGAGAGGCTTGCCCTGAGTTGGGGCAGTCACGGCCTGAGGGAAAACATTCTCTTAACAGGCAAACAATCGAGAAGGGGACTGGAAAAATAACAAGTGGGGCATCCTTGTCCTGGCCCCACAGCAGTCCTCACCAACCAGAGGGACTCCCCACAAGTTCTCAGGCTTGGAAGTCCATCTTTAACCTTTTTTGGCTACCCCAGAGAAAATACTGGAGAAACCCTTACCCATATATCTACAGAATGTTCCCTCTTAGCACTGACCAATGAAAATAATTGGTACACAGGTATTTCATGCCAAAATATGACTTTGAGAAATTCTTCTAATTGTTCCTAAATGTCAACCAATCAGAAACCAGCCTATACCTACTGATGTGCTTACTAATCCTGTAACTTTTGTCTTTAAAACCTAGCAGTAGACAGGGAACTTCATTCCCTCTGGAGGCTGCTGTGTCAGCTAGCCAGACGTGGTCCCTGTCATGGTTGGATGAACAATAAAACCTTGCTTTTACAGTTCAGTGGGTCTGTCTCCCTGGTGGTTTCTGGGGATCGTCTCAATTTGGGCACAATCCCAAAGAGGATTTCTTGTTTCCAAGGCAAGTTAGATGTGGAATATGGCCTGAATGCTACCCCATCCCAGGTGTTAGCAATTGCTCAGAGGAAGGGTTGAACTGCAAATCCCTAAAATGTCACCTCAAGGCAGCCAGGGGTCCTTACAGATTTGTAAGGCAATAGCTCCTAACCCATGTGCTCGGCACACTGGCATCTACTTTATCTTTGTTCTTTAAACTCTACATGTACACTTTCTTACTGTTTCTCTCACTCACTCTGAAAATGTTAAATAAAAAGTACTACCAGCTTTTGGCCCACACAGAATAGACCAGAGTATTGTTGTGTCCCACTCACTGGTGTTCCTTGGGAGCCATTTCCTAGGTCCCTTAGAACTTCCCTGGCCTGTTTCACTTTATTCTAACAAACGCTTCCAGTTAAATGTCTTTCTCCTAGATTCCCAGGCTTCAGGTCACAGCTCTAAATGCCATGCTCTGTGGTCCCACAGAGCAAGGCCAGCTTCCCTTCCCTGGATAATCTGAGAAACTTGACTTCTGTCTCTTGAGTCTGTATCTTTCCAGACTGAAGAATCCCATTCTTCAATACCTGCCCTTAGTATTGAAGTCCACCACTCTCCGCTGGAAACCCATCCTTATCATGTCTTCCCAATAAGACACTCAGAAGCAGTCATGGTTTTAGCATGGAGAGGAGGCATTAAGGTGCAGCACAGTGAAAGACTGCTTGCCCAAGATGTGCATAGTGTTTCTAGTTCCTTTCCCATATGGCATAGGAAGGAACCCAAGTTCTACCTGCAGCCCAATACTGATGTCACAGGACCTCTAGCCCCTGCCTGACCTTCTGACTCTACAAGTCACCAGGCAAAACCAGTACTGTCACCAGGCGTTGGTGGCGCACGCCTTTAATCCCAGCACTTGGGAGGCAAAGGCAGGTGGATCTCTGTGAGTTCAAGGACAGCCTGGTCTACAGATCGACTTCCAGGACAGACAGGGCTACACAGAGAAACCTTGTCTCAAAAAACCAAACCAAATCAAACCAACCAACCAAACAAACAGAAAATAAAACAAAACAAAACACCCCAGTACTGTCCTGACTGTCCTCAGACATAAGATATGAAAATGGCCACAGATTTCAGTGGTTTAGAAACTAGGAGAGATGGTGTTGTGACAATCCTGCTGTTGGCTTCATAGCTACAGCAAACCAGGCTTAAGTTTTCCAGACTACTGACAAGAATCTTCAGTCCCTCCGGGCCTTGGTGGCGCACACCTTTAATCCCAGCACTCGGGAGGCAGAGACAGGCAGATCTCTGAGTTCGAGGCCAGCATGGTCTACAGAGCGAGTGCCAGGATAGGCTCCAAAGCTACACAGAGAAACCCTGTCTCGAAAAACAAAAAACAAACAAAAACAAAAACGAATCTTCAGTCCCTTTCTGGATGGAACTGGCAGCTCTGAGCCTGGCTTTCTGTGTGCTAGCTGCTCCTGCTGTGACATACCTGTTACCCCTTGTATCCATTCTGCTGGTGTGGCTACAGCTACCCTGATGCCCAGTAAGCATTTCCCCAGCCTGTGCAGACTGAAAGTTCTGTAGGCCCAGCTTAATTATGGGAACCTGTGAATGGCCTCCCCATCTGGAGCAAGCACCTCACTTCCTCAGTGAAGCTCCAACCGTCTCACTCAGGAGAATACTCACTAGCAACCGTGGCAGGGACTTGGGGACTAGCCCCATGCAGTGTGACCTGCTCGCCCTTCACCAGGGAGTCTTGCACTGTACTTGGAGAGAAGAGCCGAGAGACAGGGGTAGGCTGGTTGCTCGTGCTGTGGCTGAGGAACTCTGTGACTCCAGAAGCCTACAGAGAGACAGGAGGAAGGTCATGTATCACTGATGCAGAGCAGTTACACTGGCTGCGGACATACAAACATAGGCCACTGTAGGGAGGTAAGGACACTAACGAGGCCTGCCTAGTAGTTCTCCTTACCCTTGTGATGGCAGCAGAAGCAATGACCACATTGGATGGGGACACAGTAGACGCCAGAATCCCTTCTCTCTTCAGAGGGGCTGATGTCATGATCACCTTTTGTGGCTGGCCTGAGAAGGCAGCTGTAGGAATGAAGAAAGGTGACAGTGAGGGCCTGACCCTTCAGAGGCCTAGCTGCTACTAACAAAACTGCTGAGCTGCAGATGACGGAAAGAGCTAGGGTATCACAGACACTGCTAGTGAAGCATGTGGCTCCTTACCAAGGGCTGCGGCAGGGAGACAAAGCCCCAGGGCATCTCAACTAGTTTTAGTTTTGTATTTTCACTGGAAAGAGATGCTTGTGACCATGTATTCGCAAACCACGTTTTTTAGGTCTAATTCTCATTTTATTTAATTTTTAAATTATATTTTATTCATTTTGTGTGGTATGTATATGTGTGCAGGTATGCATGCGTCATGGTACATGTGTGGAGGTCAGAGGACACTTGTGGAATTGATTCTCACCTTCCACCATGTAGACCCTGGGGATCAGACTCAGGCTGTTAGGCTTAGCAATAAGTATCTTTACTCAACTGAGCATCTCACTAGCCCAATTTTAGTTTCTTTAAACAAGGTCTCATTATATAGTCTTGGCTGACCTGGGACTTACAATGTAACTCAGACTGGTCTCAAACCCAAAATCTTCCTGCCTCCGCCTCTCAGGTGTTGGGTTTACAGGTATGGGTCACCACACCCAGATCAAGACTAGACTAATGTTTAAACATACAGACTAGAAAGGCAGATTGCACATATGAATTATCCACACCATTTAGATGGGGGAGAAGGTGTTACAACTTTAAAGCCTCTGAGAAAGGGAAACATTACTCCCTAGGCAATCTTGGCGTTACAACCCTAACCCAACTCACCTGGAGCAATGCAGGCATTCTTCAACACCAAGGACACAGGTTCAGGTTTGGGAGCAGGCACTATTTTGGGGGGTTGCTTGGGTCTCACTCCAGTCAAGGACACAGGTTTGGGGTGTATAAAAGCTAAATGAGGCTGGGGAGGTCCCACAGCTGGTGGCTGGGGCACGGGTGATAGTGCCAGACCACAGGGGGATGATGAGGGGGCTGAGTGGTGTGCTGTGATGACAAGGCCCTGGCTCTGGCTGAAGGTGGTAGCAGAAGCATCATGAGTAAGAGTGGCAGAGGCTGTGTGGGTAATGACAGGGGTTGATTTGCTGACTCCAGCAAACTTCTGTGGCGGCAGGAAAGCTGGTGGAGTTGAGGCAGGAGGAGAGACTAAGGGCAGTGCAGTGGGGACAGGTGCTGGGGCAGGGCCAGGGGAAAGTAAGGTCATAGTAAAGACAGGGAGGAAGGGCTGGGGGACACTCAGGGGTGGCTCAGAGGGACCAAAGTCTGCAGGCTGAATAAATGGGTCCACAGTCTGGGGAGTGCGTTCACAACCCTGCCCATCTGTGGGATCCAGGGAGGGGGCTGCAGAAGGTTCAATGAGGCTACTGGGCAGGCTCACAGTGGGAAGAGCTGTATTTGGCAATATGTTCCCCTGAGGAAGGAAGAGACATGAAGAAACAAAGCACGACTGGATAATTAGTTCTCACTATTTAGCATTATATAACACAAAGACTAACTGTGGACATGGGGACTGAGGGACCAAGGGATAGAAGTGCTATCTCCCAGGCCCAACACACTTCTCTGCTGGGGGAATGGATCTGTGTTCCCTGAGTGTCAGCAGGGGTCTTGTTTCCATTAAGAACTAATGATAACACAGAGCTCAGACAAAGCTGGACAGAAGCCTAGGGGTATCTAGTTTCTAGAGTCCAGTTCAGGTCTCCCCACAGTCCCTGCCATCTTCTGTTACAGAGCAGAAGCAGCCTAGACCACAGCTGCTCAGGGGTTCCCCCAGGACAGCTTCAAGTATCGACTTCCAGTCAAGCTAGCTCTTCCTGAGTGGAAAAGCTGTGAGGAGTCACCTGCGCAGATCTGTCTCTACAGAGGAAATGATTATCTGAGCTGGGTGGGGAAGGTGCCAGGTTACTGGGTGACTAACTGAATATAGTACCAACTTGAGAGCTCCCCCAGGGCAGAGAACTATGCCTCAGTCAGCTCTGCAGCCCTAATACCCATAATTGCCTTTTATTAATTGCTACATAAAAAATAAAAATAATACACAACATTTTCATTATCTATGCTTTTGTTCTGTAACTAATCTTGTCTTAGAAAGGAGCTGGCTGGGGGCTGGAGAGATGGCCTAGCAGTTAAGAGTACTAGCTGCTCTTCCAGAGGATCTGGGTTCGATTCCCAGCACCTACATGGCAGCTCACACCTGTCTATAATTCCAGTCCAGGGCTTCTGACATCACCACGCAGGCAAAAAACTAATGAACATCAGAACAGAACAAAACAACCCTCCATCCCCAAAAAAGAAAGAAAAGGGCTGGCTAGGCAAAGATCACTCGGGCCCTTAGGTAGGAAAGCAACTTCGCTGGCAGGGTCTCCCACCTGTGGGGAGTTAAGGGTGCTTTCAAAGAGGGCTCCATCATTTCTTTGCATATCCACATGAATTCAGCACTGGACCAGCAATGGCCCCAGCACGTTGTCAATTCATGGCCACAGCATTAGCCTAGCTCTGGCTGTAAAGTTTGATGGCAGCCCTGTACCTGCCATGCTTCTCCCCCAGCTTCCTCTACCTGAGAAGGCGGGCTGCTGGGATCTGGGGCAGGTACTGACGTAGGTGTAGGCAGCATGGAGCCAAAAATGGATCGGCTGGAAGAGAAGAGATCTGAAAAAAGAACATGGGAATCTTTTGAAGTCCATGCTCTAACCATTTTCTAGAATTATGACACACAAACAGGGGGCTGAACCCTTCCCCCCACCCCACCCCCAAAGATAAATTTTTCTACAGAAAGAGGATTTGATGAGAACATTTGGAATACCAAGTGTTTCGGGTCTGGACAATGGCAGAGCTCAAGGAGGTGACCTAACCTCAGGTTAGAAACTTTACTGGGAAGTGGCTGTGTCACAGTGCCCTCTGCTGCCTAGAGAAGGAACTGCTCACAGTCAAGGCCAAGTGGATGCTTCCAGCAGGAAGCGACACTCACTCTGAGAATGCCAACTCCCTTCCAATGTGCCAGGAAACTTTTCCAGGCTTTGCAGTTACTATTAAAAAAAAACAAAAACAAAACAAAAAAAAAAAAACTTCCCGTTTTGGAAAATTCTAAGCCTTTCCTTTACACCCATTTCCAACTATCCTCTCTACAAAAGGAGCACTAGTCTGATATGGAATAGGCATGGGAGATCCAAGTATCATGTTACCCTCTGCCCTTACCCTGGAAAGGCTCAAAGGTGTCCATGAAGTCCAGGTTGGGTTGCAAAGGGATCAGGCCTGGCTGGATCATGTCTGCATTTCCTAAATGTGCTGCAAGAATTACAAGTGAGAGAGGGGAACACTTTCACCTCAAATAAGATCAAAGGAAAATATACAATTAGTTCTGGGACAGACCCTCCTGGCCCTCCCTACTCATTCTAGAATCTTCTAACAACTGATGGAAGCTGACTGGGATTTCTACATTCTTGAGAGTTTGTGGCCAGTCTTAGACAGCTATGTCCTCTCCACCCTCAGAAGACAGGAAAGACAGGCAGTGCTAGAAACCACCATGAAGCTACGAGCTATGAGCAGCCCCAACCATCCCCCCCCCCCTACGCTACATCCCCACAGCCATCTGTGCCCACTCTCACTTTTCATCTGTGGTTCTGCCCTGAGGACCTACGAGACTGAAGGCCTCCAGGTGGGATGCCATGAGTGCAGTACTCATGGGATACACCCCACACAACGAGAACAGTGTCAGAAACATAAGGATTCAGCTCAGAGCCTGCTGCTTTTTCACAGTGGGACTAAAAGAACAATGGCCACCCCTGTAAGGCTCCATTTCCAGTCTCCTCCCATGCAGCATTGCATAGGACCCTCAAAGAGCTTGGACAATCTTTCTCTTTTCCTTTGCCTACCCTAAATAAGCGGCAAGCAACAGCTCAGAGATGCCCTGAAGCAAAGCCTGGCCTAGAGGAATCTTCACGGAGAAGGAAGCCAGTTGTCCAAGGGAAGAGACTAGTTACCTATTTCCCGTGGGTTGGGCCAGGCCACTGGTTGGTGTGAAGAAAGTGTGGAGAAGAGGGTGTCACTGAATTCTGACATGAGCATATCTGTGTCCAACAGTGAGTCCTCCTCCATGGGGACTGGGGTTTTCCAGCCATCTCCATGCTTATGCCAATAGAGCATGTCGTCATCCTAGCCCACAGGGGAAGAAGAGTCAAAAGGCAATTGGATTTATTATCCTCCGTCCTGGCATGCATTAAAGGGTTGCTTCGTAAAAGAGGCAAGAAGGTACAGGCATTCAGAGCTATTCCCTTAGCCTACCCAACAGAGTGTGTGCCTGCTTCCTTGGCCACCTGCAGGACCTCCATGTGAGAAGGAGCTGCTCCTGGGTCTGGCCTTCCACGACAGGACTCTCTTGGGGCACAGAAGGCACTGCTGTATCTTGTCAGGACAGGGCATTCAAGCTCACTTACCTGGGCCAGACTAGAGAGGTCCTCATCCTTGTGCTGCTGTAGCTGTGGGCAAGTGGAACAAGATGAAGCAGCCACCAGGAACCCTGGGCTGCCCCACCCTCACCTCCTTGTATGTGAGTGAACTATGTGGGAAGCGAGTTGGGGAATGGGATTCTGCTGGCTGCCATCCCATGAATGTGGGCCCACAGAAGCCCTATGTGTGGCCAAGGAAACCACAGCCACTGTTTGGTGTTTACAAGGTTGAGTACAGCATTCCCACATCATGCTCCACGACTGGTCGGCAGCTGTGGAGCCTAGGGCCTCAGGCCACACTCTGAATACAAGTCCATCTCCCGCCTACCCAAGCCCTGCCCCAGAGCTCCCACAACATGTTCTTTTGAGGGCCCTTGCCAATAGATACCCTTTTCTTGAAGTAGGTTCTCCACTTGTGATATTCCCGGATGACAATCTCAATGCGACTTTTCCAGTATTTGCCCTCTGTGGTGATGGCCTACAACCGAGAGGCCAACATGAAAGGCAGGTCTTGGATAATCATATGTCAGTCCATGAACACCCAGCATCGCCACTGAAGTGACCTCATATGGTTCTCTTGGTCAGAAAACCCCCATGCTGCTTCAGAGACTACAGCTTCACTCACTGGGCACAGCTCTTCTCTTCTGAGCTACAACTTGGACTCAGGCTAAAGATGACACCAAGAGTGACTGCACTGGGGACAGGGTAAGCACACAGCACTCAGACAAGAGGCAGAGAGCTGCTTCCTCCTAGTCTGAGGATGCTAAGGAAAACTCACAGGTGGCCCACAAATACCCCTTTCTAGCAGCATTTGTCATGCTCTCAGAGAGTGAAAACGAGGGCTGGTGAGATGGCTCAGTGGGTGAAGGCACTGCCATAAAGCCTGATAACACACACACACATACAAATCTAATTAAAGATTTTTTTAATTTAGTCTTTTCAGGCAGGTGGTATAGCTCAATGGTATAACACATGACTAGCGTGAAAGAGACCCTGAATTCTATCCTTAGTACCAAAATAATAAAACAAAATATAAAAATAATATAAGCCACTCTTCCTTCAACCTCTTTTCATCCCCTATCTTAAGTTGTTTTGTTGTAGCTCAGGCTGGCCTCGAACTCCCTATATATCAAAAATGACCTTAAACTTCTGATTTCCCTGCCTCTGCCTCCCGGTGCTGGGACTGCAGGGTTTGAAATCACACCCAATTTATGATGGAAGCCAGGGTTTGGTGCATGCTAGGATAGCTGCACCTCCAGTGTGAGATGAAGAACACGGAGTTTGCTCTAACTTCTCTGGAGACCTTGTTTTGCTGGCGGCACTAGGGGTAAACCTAGAGCATATGGATGTATTCTTCTGTATCTGCTACAGAGCCAGCTTTCCCTGAATATCTCCCAGAAGAAATACCAACTTTACGTGAAAGCAGAGAATGAGGCCCCATAAGGTCAGCTTGTCTAGGGATAGACACTTTGGGAGGCTGGGAACTGTTGGAGGCCACTGTTCCTCCTCAAGGTCATGTCAATTAATAGCACAACACAGGCTCCACTACTCCATTCTGTTTCCCCATAGAATTTGGCCCTTTGGTAGGTTGTTTCTTGAGAAATGAAGGCAGGGTTCCTTTCCAACACCCTCCTGCCTCCCCTCTATTCAATCACTTGCTGGTTAAGTACCTCTGGCCGGCGGTGTTCATCTACGTCAACAGAGCCATCTAGTGGAGTGACAAAGTGGCACACAGGATTCTTGCGTTTCTCCAAATCTGGGTTGGGAGAAGAGAGACATCGTAACTCCACCAAGACTCCTGAAGGAGCTCTACCCAAACTGCTAAGCCATGGAGTGGTCTCTCCTTCTTCCACTGGAGCATGCAGGCCCAAGGCAAAGAATGCCAGGAACACCCGAGTAAGAAATGAAGCTGCTCATCAAACAAAGGCAGCCAGCGACAGGCAAGTCCACCCTGCTCCTCAAGCCCGCATCCTCCCATCCTCAAGCTAGCCAGGAATAAGCCCTACAGTGGTCTCCATGTCTTCTTAGCCTGCTAGAAACAGAAACTGCTCTTTGAATCCCCAAATGTCACCTCTTGGCTACATTCTCCCAACTCTCCTGAAAAGAACCCCTTACACTACACACTGTGGTCAAGGTCTCATATGTCTGTCCCTCCAGACTCTGGGCTCTGTTGGCTGATGCTGCATGATAGCTAGTGAATGGCCTGGTTCCTGGGATGTATTAGTACTTGGTTTCCTATCACAGACACTCAGGAAATATTTTGCTGCAAACATCTTTTAAAAGCAGGCTATAGACCCAAGGTGCTCAGGCCTCCAAGATGTAGAGCTCTGATACCACAGAATTAAGGCCCCCTGTAGCATAGCACACCCACTGCCAAGCCTGCCACACACTTACACTGCATGTACCATGCCCGCCAGATGGCGTTGTTGAGCCGGATCTTGTCCCGCCACTGGAGCTTCAGGCCCTTGAAGTTTTTCCACTTTGGAGACACTAATTTCCCACTGGAAAGCAAGACAAAGAGGGGAGAGTCAATAGCTCTTCAGAAAATAAGCATAGGCCCCAATCATTCCCGACTCCAGAAGCCTGGGTTGATCCATTACCAGATCGACCTGACTGAACACAGTTACTCCAGGATTTCTTCACAGCATATAGGGAGAGTAGGGCGTGACAACATTCAGGCTTAGAGGACATAGGGTTTGTTGTATGCTTTGGGTTTCTGCTTACTCTTAATGTTTCTCATAATTAAACATTTAAAAGACACATTGTCAGGTGTGGTGGCAGACATCTGGGAGACACAATGACAGTAGGCTCTACCCAAAGAGTCAGGGCCGCTAAAGAGTCTTCCCCCTTCCTCTTCTTTCAGTTGCCACTCCAAAGGCATGTCTACCCCGCCCCCCATGACAATCAGCTCCATGATTATAATTATAAATTATAATTATAAATGAGCCTTATAATTATAATTATAAATGAGCCTTATAGGTTTGGAGCCTCCACTGCCTCCACAGCTGTGTATCTTTGTTGGCAAAGAGATGTGCTGGTGTTTCCGTTTGCTGGGTGAGATCACAGCAACGCCACTTCCTCCACAGTGTTTTTAAGAAGGTTTGGATGAGGCTGTGTCTGTACATGTACACGTGTGTATGCATGTGGAAAAGGAAGATGCTTTGTTCTTAATTCAATGCCAGGAACAGATATCTGAGGAAGGTCGGCCCCACTACACACAAAAGCAGCTACAGAACCATGGGCTCTCCACTGACTCTGCCATTTACTCACACATTAAGTACCTACTCTGTGAGTAAAGAGCTAAGAACTAACTTAGAGAGGATATAGATGAGACACAGGCCCACACCATTCCAGGTCCTGTGTGAACGAACATCAATGCAGGAGCCAAAACCTAAGCTAGAGCCAAGGAGAAGACAGAAGGTCCACACTGCTCCTGCCTGGCTCCTGCGACTATGCTGAGGCAACACAAACGGAGCTAGTTAGAGATGTAAGATCCTTGCAGGGCCAGTCCAGACAAGGTTTCAGCTCCTGTCTTCAACAAAGTCAATCCTCCTTTCCATCCAATGCAAGCTCTTCCAGAAATCCCAGGCCTGGCTGAATGCAGTTCTATTATACAAACAAAATTAAGGAACAAAACAAAACTAAACTAAAAACTCCTTTTCTATATCTGAAACTCTTTCCTCTTGTGCCATGTATTCCAGGGTTCTATGGTTGTGCCCAGCAGTACCAGAATCTGACTGAGTACTAACTACCAGAGACAGCTGCAAAGGACCTACAAAGAGCTGGGATGGACCCAGGGTCCCAGCAAGAAACAGATGCTAGGGCCCTGTCAATATCTATGTGGAGTTAACCACCAGGCTTACCTATGCCAATCTCACTTCTGCTGTGTACCTTTGAAAAAGAGGGCCTGTGTGCTATGACAACCTCATCTCCATCAGACTACATGACACCTTCAGGTAGGTATCATAATAGGAGCAAAAGATACAGAGAAGGACACTGAGCTATAAACAGTGTGCGGGTTCCTTGCTCCTCCCCCACTGCTTGCTGAGACGTTTCTCTTATTCAGGATACTCACAGCAAATACAGTCAAACTTCAGCAGGAACACACAGATTTCTAAACTTCCACCATCATAGCATGCTTATATAATATCTCTAGAGCCAGCAGGTGGCACTATAAATCCATAAAGAAACTAGTTAAAAACCAAACCCAAAACCTGTCTGGTCTACAGAATGGATGACAAGTCCTACAGCCATTGCTCATAGTTACACGATATCAGCGTTTACAAATGGTGAAGAAAGAGGGGAATACAGCTCAGTGGTAGAAGTATTATGAATTTCTTTCCTACTGGGCTTTTTAGGACTTCACAGAGGGAAGAGGATCTATCTATACAGGAGCCCTTCTCATCACAGTTTCCCACAAAACTAGGAAAAGCTGTTATAAAAGACTCCACGAGGCAGCTGCAGAGCTCAGTCATTCCCTGAGAGAACACCAAAAGCAGGGTACCCAGAAGCCTCTCTGTCAGACTTCTGCTTCCCACATCAACCTACAAGGACACATCTTTCAGATAGTTCAAGTATAAGTAAAAACATAACCAGAAAGAGATACTAAAGAAAATTTGTAAGATCACTGGCCTCTCCCCAGTACCTGGACACTACTTCCAACCCATACTTCTGAACTTTGTCCTTCTTGTGTCACAGCCATGATTCCAAGGAACACTTACCAGGTACTTAGCCCCACCCCCAACCTGTGAAAAGGCCGCCACAGTCTAGCTCTGACTCATCTTAGGACTGCTGGTCCAGTGCAGGCACAGAGGAGCTTTTAAATCCAGTTATTAAACAAATGCGTAATGTTTCCATGAAGAAGTCTTCATACACTCTGCCACTGCCCCCTTCTTAAAAGGAGGGTTGCGGACAAAAAAACCCAGGAAATTCACAGGACAATAAAGGTCCTTTTAAACTTTTGTTGGCTGGAGCTAGCAAACCATGAATTTTTCAGAGGTCTGGCAAGAGCCTGCTTGAGAATGGAAATTAAAGTGCAAGCCTCAAAAAGAAGGCTCTGGATAATCAAGAAAACAGAGAGGACAGGAGGGGTCATGGGTTCTGCTTTCTAGGGTAGATCTGGCCCATTAACATCCCCTTAAAGAAGGGTAAGGCAGGGAGGCTCACAAGGCAGTGTATGAAGGGCCCATTGGGGCTCACAAGGTGGCATGCACTGTAGACTCACAAGTCCCTTCCACTCCTTGAGGAGTGAGGTGGGGGATCTACACAACTTTTTGGTGGTGTGGCCACTATAAGTAACCTCAATTAAACTTGATAATGTGCACGTCAATGGAATCACATCTGCTCTGTCATCAGTGCCCTGTCTAGGGTGAGAAACATGTGTTTACATCTCCCAGGAAAAGCTATGTGACATATGGACAGACTGCATTCTGTTTATGCATTCACCTGCTAGTGAATGGATATCTCAATACTTTTGAGATACTGTAACTAGTGTGGCAGCCAGAAACAGACGAAGGTATGAGGTGTCACCCCAGAAGACTCAAGTGTTAAAGTCCTGCTGCCCAATGTAGTATGGTCAGTCAGAACTGGGGCTTTTGAAAGGGCAAATGACTAGATCTTAAGGACTCTGTCACAATCACTGGATTGATAAGCAGTTAGCATCTGATGGCTGATGTGAAATGTCCTTCTCTATGCTGTGAATATATGCTGCTTTTGTTGGTTGATAAATAAAGCTGATTTGGCCAATGACCAGGCAGAATAGACCCAGATGGGAAATCCAAACAAAGACACAGAAAGAAAGGAGGGGGAGTCAGAGAGATGCCATGTAGCCACCAGGGAAGCAAGATGTGAAGTAACAAGCCACAAGCTTCGTGGTAAAATATGGAATAGAAGTGGGCTAATTTAATTGTGAGAGTTAGTCAGTAATATGCCCGAGTCATTGGTCAAACAATTATAATTAATATTAAGCCTTTAGAATGGTTATTTGGGAAATGATGGGTGAGTCAAGAACCTCCAGCTACATGTAGGGCCCAAATGTTTGGCAAGAATTTCCACATAAAACCCGACAAAAAAAGGGATTCTAAACACAAAAGAACAGAGTCAAGCATAGCTTCTGGATAGCAGCATGGGTGGGCTCTGTTTGCTAGAGACAAGCAGAGGCACAGCTCCTTTAAGAGACAGCTTCCTGACTCAGCGTTAGCAGCAAAACCCACTCTGCTCTTTTAAGAGGTCCTGCTACTAAACACTAATATGGAGTTTATGAGCAGCTGGCATCATGGACCTAAAACGTCCTCAGAGTTGGGGGTGATACACATGGCCTCGACCATGAAGCTAGACTTTCAGGAAGCCAAGGAATGGGGTGAAGCCAGCCACTTTAATACTAGCCAAACCCACTTAACCATAAAAAAAAAAAAAAAAAAAAAAGGATTACAGATACACAAGAACAGATTCAGACAAAAAAGGCCTCTAAATGGGTCACAGTGTATTTGATAAATGTGCACGGGCTTGAGAGAGAAAGGATATAAAATAGGCAGAGTCATAGATAAAAACAATAATTTATGCTGGGTGGTGGTGGTGCATGCCTTTAACCCCAGTACACAGCATTTGGGAGGCAGAGGCAGGTAGATCTCTGTGAGTTCGAGACCAGCCTGGTCTACAACAGCTAGTTCCAGAACAGCCTCCAAAACCACAGAGAAACCCTGTCTCAAAAAACAAACAAACAAAAAACAATAATTTAAGGATAATAAACTGAGGTCCTTAAGGGAGAAATAGAGTAAAAAAAATTACAATGGGCCATATAAAGATGGAAAATACACAGAGAGTCTGGATTCTATATACTACTGTGTTTTCTTTAATTTTTTTTTGACTGCTAATGAACTACTGAGAAACATTTGAATGTGGGGCTGATAAGCTAAACCAACATATATATTTTAAAGGTATCTTGACTTCAAAACTTGGGTCTAAGGATATGTTGCTTTGGAAAAGAGGTTCTGCTTTTGTTTCCACAGCAGATGAAAAGCTGTGGAATCTTTCCAGGTTAATATGGATCGATCAAACAAGACCCCCTGAAATGATGGCCCAGGTGATCCAATATCCACAACAGTTTCAGAACTGCTGGCTGAGATGACCAACCACACAAAATATCCCAGTCAGGACTTGAACATGATTCTAAATTTTCTCAGGATCCCCATAAAATCTACAGAACCCCAATCAGCAAAGCAGGAAGTAGTCTAAAAAATTACGCCCAAATTCCCAAATATTGTTTATAAATGTTTGTTTTCATTTAACGGGGGTTGGTTATAAATTGTTAATGGTCACAGTCAATGTCTTTCTAAATAAAAAAAAGGGGATATGATATAGAAATGAATACATTGGTATGAATTTTGATCTAGTGATACAAATTTAAGGTCAATTTTGTTATACTGTACGTATATTTCTACTCTTGCTTAAGGTATTGTTAGTTAGGTTTTCTAGATATGCAGAGATATATTTCAGATGGATA